TTGTGGTGTAGAAGTATTGGTTTCTCTGCAGAGACAGTTATGCTCTTAGCAATTATTACAACATCTTGTACAACATACTGGATTCATTTCCTCTCTAGATCTCACTTAACCTTGAATGTATTGATTTAGCAGCTTCGGGAGGAGGCCAGCATCTTTCTCAACCTTAACATGGAAAAACAACTCCCAAACACATCCCGAGTCTATAGTAAACACTTTTATTATCACAGAGATAACAATGCATGTATGTGACATTGTGATGAGCTCCCAGACACAAGCTGCTCTACACTACCTACAGCAGTGGCTAAAGAAACAGGTTATTACTATCAGGAACTCGTAGAGACCGAAACGTTTCATGCATCTATTAATGTGGACTTACAGCTAACTAGGCCTCTTAGTTAGCTAGTTTAGTGTTTTCTGTTAATTTATGTTGTAAATTTATGTTGCATGTAGCACCTTGGTTCCTGGAGGAACGTTGTTTCGCCTCACTGTGTACTGTTAAACTGTATATGGTTGAAGTGACAATAAAGCCAACTTGACTTGACTTGACTTGACCGCTCCATTATTTATTTAAAAAAAACACAACATAAACACTAAATATTATAAGCTAAATAATCAGCCAAGCTTGATATTTTTTTCAAGGCTTAAAAACAAAAAAAACCCCTAGCTTATAAACATCATGATCATTTCATTTCATGACTCAGAAATCTTCCAACTTCAGGTATAAAAGGAAAGATTACTGTTGTAAGATGTGCAACCAAGATGTGTTTGTGCAATGTGATAAATTATCAATATACATTTATTGCAATTAAGCTTCCTCAGCATGCAGTTTAAAGTTCTGTAGCCCATATAAAAACCATGCTAGTCTAGTGCTAGTTTTGGCTAGCAGGTAGCTTTTATTACCCTTGATCGTAACACATCAGTAATGTGACAAAGAGGAAATACTTTTTTCTTCATGAAAATAAGTACACAACCTCTGGGTGCCAAAGACTTTTAATGAGTCTCGTGAACACTTACGGCTGGCTCCATAAGTGTTTCAAACTCTGTTAGCTTCCATGTTAAAATGACTGAATGCAACCAAATAGCTAGCGTTAGCTGACACCCATAGCCAATGCTAGACCATTCACAGCGACTACTCCATCTTTTATCTCCAGTGTATACTGAGAATGGACAATGACACCGTGCTCCACAGATCTAACTAATACTTAAGCTATCTTTCTATGCTATACTTGACTCATACATCGCAATCTGCAGCAGAGCAACACTTCCAATAAACAACTCTCTGGTAAAAAAACAACAACAACAACAACCTTTATAGTAATAAGTGAGAATGTGAGAAACACAGCATGACACCAGGAGGTAAAGAGCAGGAAGCTGATTGAGGCAGGTGCCTCACAGCCAACACGGAGGTATAAAGACTGAAGAGAAGGAAGGTGAAGCAATGCACAAGTCAACAAAGGTTATCTGGGACAATTTTAGCAGTAAAGAGCAGACACTGTGTGATATATAACAGCCTTAAAGATGTAATGGTGACACTACAGAGAATGGAATAAGGCCACCGAGGGAGGATAAGAGGGGCAAGATTTTGAGCTTTCATTGTTGCGCTGTGTGACTGAAGGATAATTACTGTTGCGAGAAGAAGAGGAGAATGAGAGCATTTAAAGTGTCTGTACCGTGCAGTCCCTCTGCTTCTCCTGCCAAGCTAAGGTCCAGCCATGTAGTAGCTCTGTCTCTTTTCCCCTAAACAGCTTTGTGAGTTAAAAGCTCTTGGCTCTGAGTTTGTTGCCAGCTATTTGAACAGACTTTTGCAGGCCTTCCCTACCCACAGAGGAGTAATACCCTCCGACTATGTGTACATAGGTGAGTGCATACTACAGTCGTTGTGAATTAATTACTAGGGACCAATAACGTATTTCTCCTGGACAGTCGGTTTTAAAGTGTGTGACAGTGTCGTACGTCTCAGTCTGCAAACACAGAAGGGATTTGTGGGTATACTTACTGGGTCAGGTTGCTGGAAAGTAAATTAGGCAGAGAGAAAATACTCTGGGTGCCTGAGACAGAAAGGTTAATGGCTTTATGAGATTGCAGTGACATATTATTGCAAACACCTCAGAGCAAACAAATTATTTGATTGTGATATTGAAGAATGTAGCAGTTGTTCCTGCCTGTTAATGGAATATTAAATCCACAGGGTGTGGACATGTGTAACTGTGCCTTACAGTGCCATGTACGTACATCCTCGTATTGTTTTTGAATAAAGTGTAACACTTTCCAACGACATTTTTAGGTTCCTGGTGGTCTACCTCAACAGTAGCATAAGGATAATTAGCTTTTTTCACTTATTTATTCAACAGATTTATTACTATGTGTGAAATTATTCAGTGAAATAAGTAAGTACACTTTGGACTCAAACACTTGCGTTACTGTCTGTAGTGCAAAAGGAACATTTTGTAGCAAGTGCAAGCTAAATTGTTAGTTTTGCGGTGGTACTAAACAACACTACAAAGAAAATTACTTCAACTGATTTACGTCAATGGATGTAAAAATTATTGGTGGAAAAAACTGCAAGCTTTTTAGTAGTGTACTTGAAGAACAGAAGCTTGCTTTTCCTTTGTTTGTGTATTTAAAGATAATAGCTGTAAAAAAGCATTGGTGGAAAAAAACTATGTACACTTTGGCCTCTTAAGTTAGCGTCGTATCCGTTATTAATTTAGCCTCTGCTTCTAAACAAGCAAAGCAGGTTGTAAAGTCGATACACAGCATGCAGAAATGATTTTGAAGGCAGATTTTTACAGCAAAGATAGAAAGAAAACTGGATTCAAAATCAAGACCACTGGAAATAAAGGTGATACAGATATATTTCTTGCACGTGCAAGAAATACAAATTAAAAAAGCATAATACAAAAGTCTGATGCATCCATAGCTTAGCTGATTTTTGAACCACAGAATCGGCTACGATACACGGGAAAGCTTAGGTAGAGTTTTAGGCAACATAAAGAACAATAGTGAGATCAGCCTGACTGTGAAATGCTCAGAATATGAGGCTGAGAATTTTAACACTGATCCTAAACATAACTGGATGCAAGTAAAAATAAATGAGTGGCTAAGATGTTGGATGTCAAAAGATTGGAATCACTCAAATTCCCTTCATATGCAGGATTTATGGCTTTCCTTGCATATACAACTCATTTTAAATCCCACAACATTTCAGCTGGATTCAAATCTGGGCTTTGAACAGGCCATTCTATAACTGTGCTCTCTTCTTTTTGAGATTTAAGATGCAGAATTCATACTTTGATGGAAAAAATATGATGAAAAAGTTAAAAAATCCCCACTGGATGTACTTATTTTTTTTCCACATCAGTGTAACAATGTATTCCCTGTAAGTCTCAACGCATTGTTTTCCCTTGTGGGCACCAACTATTTCATTTTAAAGTAGCTCTCTTTTGAAAATCCAGACAATAGAAGAAAAGAATCTGAGGTGGGTGTCTGCAGGGACCCCAGGGGCACATCAAAGGGGCGGTTGACTGGTCAGTTATGCAGAGAGCTGCAGTAATCAAGCACAACCGGCTTTAATGATGTTGGAACACACACATAAACACATGAATTCTGCTCAGGACAGCAGCTCCCACCGGGGCTTAACAGCCGCAAAACTGACCTCTAACAAAATAGCATCACGGCTTTAGGAATGAGCTGCGTGCAGGCATGGATGGTCCATGCAGGCTCAGGTATCAGGTTTCCCTGGTGGGCCATTACCTCTGATGCCTGGCTAGGGTCTATCAAGTGTAGGACATCAAAATCACGGCTGTACATGCAGACACGCACTTACAGGCCCTCTGCCTCCTCAGATTGGCCTTGGGATGTCAAAAGGGGGGAATGAACATCAACCGGCAGAGACCATTTGTCTCAGTAGTGGAAATTTTAGCCCCACAGTGTCCGCTCTCCCCCTTTCCTCCTCCTCTCTCTCTCCGCCTCCTCTCAGGCATTTTTGAGGTGTCTGAAGGTAAAAAGCAAGACGGGTGGACATGATGTTTTGGCTGACTGACAACAGATCAGCTCCCCACATGGGTGGAGAAACAGCCTGTTTCTCTGTGGTTTATGAGGATGTGAATAGTGAACGGATGTAAAGCTGTAAATCTGTCTGGGAGCACAGGCATCAGCTGGCTGTACCTAGGGGTTACCGTTGTTAGACTATACTTTAACTAAAGTGACTGCAAACAGCAGAAGGTGACGATGGAGCAAAAAAAAAAAAGAAAAGTTTTATTCAGCGAGCTGGGAATTCCTGGCAGGCATCAGCCACCAACTGTGGATACATGGCTCTGTAGTGGAATAGTGACGGAGGCAGATGTTTGGCTGTGTTACGAACCCGGTAATAAGACAGGCATGTGGCTGTGTTGCATCCAGAGGAGCAGGTGCTGCCACCACACTGCCATTACCATCTGCACTGATGAGATCAGGGACCCAGCCGTGCTGGATGTTTGATGATTATTATCCCTTAAAGTAAAATATAAAATAAATAATCATGCAAGCTGGTGAAGTCAGGAGTATCATTTTTATCTCCTGCAATTTCACTGTAAAATTAGTTTATTGTCTCATTTGGCCCTGGCAATGTGATATTCACGCCTCAAATATGTCTCTGCAGTAAGCACTAGCCAGTCTGCCAGTATGAACTGAAGTGGATGGATGAGGAAATGGTGGAGGTTAGGAGAATGGTGAAGGGATAGAGGGAAAGAAAGATGCAGAGTGATGGAGGAGAGGATGTAAAAAAAAATGGGATAGTATCCCTTTAATGTCCTCTGACGTCATGATGATGCAGATCTGCCGGGCTGGGTGCGAGCGGAGGAAAGGAGGAGAGTGATGCCGACAAAAAAAAAGAAACTCCTCAGCACTATTTTTTAGTCCCCTTGAAGAGAAGAAGGAACACCCTTTATACAAGAGGGCGGATTAACACCTATTGTCACTAGCAAGTGAATATGTCAACGAAAGCACGCTGAACGCCACACGCTTTAACAGAAAAAGCGACCATATTGAGGTCAGAGGAAAGCGTTGCCAGGGCGACCGGCTTGCTAGGGAGGACACTGCGGCGCGCGTCACACGCCGGGGACGAGCGTAGCTGCCTGCTTGCGTGCGTGCCTTACGAGGGTGCGCACGTGCGCGAGCGCGCGACGGCCAGCCGGAGCGGTCACGGCATCCTCGCAGCAGCAGCAGCAGCGGCAGAGGCAGCATCCTTCTCTTCGAGACTGCTGGAGCACCGCGATTTGTGAGTCCGCCGTTTCTGATACAAGCTAAAGCGAGCCGAGCCGGAAGCTCGGCAGCGTCTTGGCTGTCTTTACTGGGATTTATTTTGGATTTATCGTCGACGTCCTAGGGAAATAAGAAGGAAACACAGTCCGAGAGAGTAAACCTGAGTAGCTGAGACCACTGGTCAACACAGGTGATACTTTCCGGCTGTCAAATCCGCCGAGTCCCCGCAGACACGTCCGGGTTATTTCGGGGTTATTTTGCAGTTTAAAGGCCTCGATAAAAAGAGACATTGGTCCTGTGGCACGCTGGACTGTGAGCAGAGAAATTCCTTTCTTGCGGGGACCAACCCGAGCTCGGCTGCTCGTATGGAGAATCCTACTGAACCGAGCTGTTTGTGGTGGGTATTGCAGTAGAGGCAGCTTTATTTTTGGGATTCAGTCTCCACTCTGTCATCGTCTCCAGCCATGAAGTCCCACCTGCCGGCCCGGTTGGACTGAACGAGGTAGAGCTCTGCCGAGGGGGACCTCCCCCCTCCCCTCCCTCCCCAAAGTATTTGAGCTATTTTCTTTTTATTTGTTTTCATTTTTATCTTTGTTTTTCCCGCGAGCTGGCGGAAGGTTTAAGGAGAAGGACGAAATCTGAAGAGAACAGCAGTGGGAATCTGGCGCCCTACCAGCACCCGTGGATCCCACGTTAACAGGTAGGCTGAGGTTTACACGGTGGATGCTGATTGAGGTTATTCTCACTGAAAATTCTTCGAATTTGATTCATATCTAAAGTGTGTGTCAGCAGCTGAGTGAGAGGATGCATTGACCCCCACCCCTAAAAAAAAACATGCCTGGAATGAATTATATGTTGTGTTACTTGCAGTCTTTTTCCCCCAGCATGCTTTAAAAAAAAAAGTATGTATATTTGCTGTGGACCTGTTGAGAATGAACCACACTTCGTGCAGACGAGCTCCTCCATAATCACACAGAAGATGCATCCGCTGTGCCATTAATGAGGGACCTGCACTCAGAGCTCTTCTGGTGGGATGAGAGAAACAGAGGCTGCCATTCGGTCAGGCTCAGCTTATTCCTGTGCCCCTGGATTACATGCAGCATTTGTAGCATTTTCTAATCAATAGAGCTTCTCTGAGATTGCAGAGAATTGCTCATTGTGCCTTTTTTTTGGCATTATCTGGAAGATAGAGATGAAGGAGGAAACCATGGGAATTCTCGCAAGCAACTTAAATTGAGCCTGTTTTCATCTGACCTTTATTCTCAAAAGACCCCAGGAAGCGCCTTGGCCATGAGAACATATTCCCCTAAATGCTCCCCTACAAACACGCACACACGCACACACAGATAAATGCACACAGACACACAGCACGAAGAATGGGGTGCATTTATATGCTGTGGCTGATGTTGTGGGGCATTCGGATCAGCAGGGCCTTCTAGATGATAGAATTCAACAGGGACAAGAAGACCTCTGTTCTTATCTACAGCAGAGAAGGGGAAGGCTCTCCTTGGTTTAGGCAGCTATCCTGCCCTATATAGCAGATAGGGACATCTCCTCTGTGGGGAGAAAGCATTTAAATGGAGGCAGAGGGAAATATGTGGAAATGTGTCCTTGTGCTAAATAGATGTTGTCACAGAGGAGTTGTTATTTACCTCGCCGGCAACCAGCTAGAAACTTTGAAGACCCGCCGAGATGTTTAAGGGGGATAAAGGTGGCGTGCTAATGCAGTCTGTTGAGGAATTGCAGACATTTGTGTGAGCGAGCAATACGTACACACAGAGAGAGATAAAAATGAAATAGAGGGAAAGACATTAGTGCATCCTAGCTCCATTGTTACAATGCTCTCGGTGCTCATTGCAGCTGAGCACCTGACATTGCAGAGTGTATAAATGTAAGCATAAATATGTATATGAAGATCAGAATCTTTTACCCTTAAAAAATTGGCATTAGTCGGCCTCTAGATGTTATCGCTGTCATCTCGAGGTTTGCTGGTCGGGTTGAGTCACATATGATCATATTCTGATTGGTTGGACAGCCAGAGGTATAACCTCTGAAGGAAACGTTACGTTAGCAGCACTCTGGGTTGGATTCATGACCATTTACCCAGTATACGGTCTTGGGGGTGGCTGAAGCTGGTCTGAGACAGAGCAAAAGGTGGATCCACCAAGATCCTTTGGAGGAGGTGGTCTCGGTATGGTTCCAAACAAACTCCATCTGTCCAATGAGGGGACTCATTCTCATGTGGTTTGTAGTCATGCATTTTTGTTTGCTTGGATTTTTCTCTGTGTGAAAACAAACCAAACCACAGGAAGAAGCTACAAGTTAACAAACTCATCAAGTGATTCGGACGACAGTAAACGAACTATAGATGTCAAAACACCCTAACTGAACAAACTTATTGGATAAAAGCTTGTTAATCTCAAATCCTGAGCCAATGAGCATGTCCAGAATAATCATTCTTTCTGCCTCTTAGAATGACCATAATTGATCAAATGGAAAGTTCTGTTCATTGTTAGCTTTGCAAAATGGACAAAGGGAAGTGTACTGAGGTCAAAGACAAAAGGAGCCAAGCACTGTTTTGTGGTTGTGTAGACTTCAACACAACCAGAAAAGTCACACCTTGCCTGCCATTGGAAAGAATGCAGGTTGAAAGCACTTTGTGTTGACTTCCCTTTGTAGACCCGGAAGCTGTGTCTGCCTTTGATACTCTCCGGTTAAAATCATTTCTTTTACCTGTCCATACATGGGCTGTTTCTCAGAACCACAGATTATTGGAAAAGAGGGACATGTTAAATAAGACTGTCTGCATAACATTTTTTTTCTGAGGAAAAAACACCAAAAAGGCCAAAGAGGCAAGCGTAAGCTATATCTCACTTCAACAAACAAAACAGTATATCCTCTGAAAATGGCCAACTTTTGTGCTTCAGGCCTGAGGCTTTGGGAGTAAATATATCAGAGTTGGCACATATTTCAGTGTCTTTGGCATTTAGCATCTTCTCCAGTTCTGGAATTTGCCAGTAGCAGCAGCTAGACCCAGACCGAGCTGGATGTGAAGCCTTCTCTCCCCTTAAAAACAGAAAAGCATGTAATCGGGCCTGTTAGCCATCTTCATCTTGTGTTGGGATCACCGGTTACCGTAGTTCTGTTTTTGGAAATCTTACAAACATGGGCAGAAGGTCAGCTGTCCATTGGTGTTACTTTAGTGTAAAATAACTAGGTTAAAATGATTTAATATGCTGGGTTTTTATGTTTATCTATAATTCATTGAGGTAAAGCAGGAGAGCAGGTAGAATGCAGTCAGTGCTCTGCTGTCGATTCAGTTAAGCAGATTTTTGGTTGAAGCATTGTACAGTATCATTTCACAAATAGATTTTCTTTGACTGACCACAGCTCCACAAGATACGATTGAGTGTTTCTGCCATATACTGTTCATCCATTTATGGGAACTTGTTATATACTTTTGTTTGCAAGAAATCATACATTTTTTATTGGTGTTTCTGTGTGTGTGTGTCCTTATCAAATGCATGCAGAACCCATGAAATCATTGCTCAATGCCAGCCCTCCCGGGCAAGATGCAGCAGAGCCAGAGGCAGATGGGGCTGAAGTGTTCAAAGCATGCCGACGGGTAGATTGATGTCTCCTAGCACGGGTCGCTAAGCAGTCAACAGATGCAGGGCGGTGTTGTGACAGAGTGCGATGAAATGGTCATCACGATCACACGCTTTCACAGCGCTTTAAAAAGCCCTACCTGTCAGTGTTACTGCGTCTGATTTTGTCCCTCACTGTTTATTTTTTGCTATTGACAAATCAGTGACAGCAGGTTTCCCAGTGGGTTAGGAAGCCTTCTCGCTGTGGAGTAATCGGAGCTGCTGCTAATTTTAGGCTGCGAGATCTTCAGCGTTATGACAGCTGACGCGCTGTCTGGAGAACTGGAGACTCATCTGATGAATGCTGGGGAAATTAAATGTTTGTCTAGCAAAGTTGGAATGAATTAGTAAAGCTGGCTGTACACAGAAGTCCTCAGGGAGGTGCTGTTGTTCATACCTTCCTTCTGTTAGAAGAAGTTTGTATGTGTGTCACTCGGTACTTTGAAGGCGCATGAAGACATTTTTAGGACTACTGGAAGAAATTAAAATCTGCTTACATGTGAATTTGCCTTCTACTCTCCAGCTAACTTTAAGCACTGTGACAAACTGGACAATTATTGGATGTATAACAGGGAAATATTAAATAACTGTGGCAGCCTGTTTGCACATATGAAGGATCTAAGACTCAGAGGAGCGTGGAACATAGAGTTAATGGATGTATCACTGAATCTCATTACGCCTTCACGGGACTACGTGGCCTGTAAGCACATTCTAAATTGATGACCAGTCGTTGTGATCTCATCCGGGTTACTGCTAATCACAAGCCGAACCTGTTTTCTCTGTTTTACTGATTGACTGTGACGCTGTTGAAACGGACTAGCTCAACAGTGGATCCGCTCTTTAAACCAGAAAAGCTTGAAGAATTGGAAGAGGCTGATTAAAATGGGAACGTGCCTCTTCTTAGTTCTTGAGGTAGAGTGGCTCCTGTCAGTCCAGACACAGGTCGCTGCTACGTTAGTGGAGGTGCGTCGCTGCGGCAGATTACAAAAAAGGACAAAATTAGCAAGCTGATGGATCAAAGTAAGAAATGGAATAAATGGCGCTTTGCAGCGTCTGAATCGACAAACAGATGGGCATTACAAAATGTTTAATAGTCAGAGTGCATTTGTTTCTGTGAAGAGCGGGTGACGCACAGCTAGATTACCTAGCATGGTTTTCTGGATCGCTTGTTAGTTTATTGGACACATGAGCACAATCCAAACTGGTGTGTTATGTTACTGTACTCAAACATGCTGGCAATATGATCTTGTCCAGCAGGCTTCGACTGCCCCGCCCCTCCCTGCGAGCAAAAGCTCTTCTTATTGGCAGTTCTTTGCAAACTGCAGATGTGAGGGGTTTGTGAGCTGAATGTTTAAATGAGGGCGGGCCCCTCTCAGTGAGGTCACACAGAGCCACTAGTAGAAAAAACAGTCTAAAACTGAGGGTTTGACCAGGCTGAAATCAAGGCTTTTTGGATCAAATGGATTGTAGACATATGGCAGAGGACAAATAATAATGATAACAATGAGAATCGGTCCACTTTGACACAGGTACAGTACAAGGACAGGGAGGACGCAGGCACCACTGTGTGCGGCAATTAGAAAGAAGTGAATTGTTTACTTGTAATTATTGACAAAAACAAGTGTAAATGGACTCTCGCTCGTTGCCGATGTGTTTGTCCAGTAGACCAGCACTAATAGGACACTGCTCTCTACACATGATGTAAGATGAGTTTTGGACTGCTTGCGCTCTCTGATAATGACAGTAGGCTTTTGTATTATCATATATACTCTGCACGACTCCTTTAATGCCTCATTTCTCATTGACATATCCATTTATTTTTCTTCGGCATCCATCTGTGGCAGTCATTCATCTGCTTCAGAGGAGTCTGGATGTTTTCTTCTTCTTTTTTTTTGTAACGGACTCTGTGTCGTTGCTATGGCAGCATCATTTTGGAAGGCTAAGCCCCTCAAAGATTTCAAACGTGAAGGTCTTCTTTTTTCCCCCCCAGTTCCAGTTGTTTGTAAGAATGCACCAGCACATATTCTTGTATAGATAATAAATCTAATAAATA